ATAAAAAGCGCCAGTAAAAAAAATTAAAGATAAAATTCCTATTCGAAATCCGAATAGAAATAAGATAGATCATCTCACTGGCGATCGATTATTCTGAAAGGAGCTATCATCTACTAGATATTATTCACTTTACCTATTTATATTAGCATAACTAAGCAGGTTCAGGAACACGTTACAAACCTAAAAATGATTACATGGGATCACGAAAGACACACGAAGGAAGCAATTTCAATTGATTCCATTCGACAACCTGAAGAAATATATTTGTTCGAATGAAGACAAATTTCAAATTGTGAATCCAAATTGAATATCCAAAAGCTGCATGCAATATCTGTGATCAAACGTACAAACAATAGAAAAATGAAAACCAATGCTCAATCTCAATATCTCTACGTCCGAGATTTACATCGAAAACAATTCGATTTTAGTGAATAATCAATTCTTGTTCCTTCAGATCTTACTTTATCCGTCTTTTGCATTGAATTCAGATTTTGCGCAAGAAAACAGTCTCATTGTTTCATCAATAGATTTCAATATCAGTTTCATTTGAATACACATCTTTGACATATTTAGTTGTTTGATATTTACGATTGGATAAATAGAACGATTCGTGATTACGATTACATGATTATGATGATTTTTCTATCTATGATGTTTCATAATTAAGAGAAATATTAAAATTAATAGTGATTTTATTGCAAGTTCCAGTAATTTTGATTTAAATCAATGTTAATTTTGTTGAGATGTAGAATCGTTTTTTCTTTATTAATCGTCTATTTCACAAAGCTTTTTTCAGTCCCTTTTTTTGCATGTTTATTACACTAATACTCATATCCGGTTTTTTTCTTCCTCTTTTCTTTTCTTTCCTTGAATATTTACTACAGTAGTAATCATATAGTGTTTTTTTTCTTCCCCTTTTTTTCTCTTTCCTTGTTTTTATCTTCGTCATTGTTGCTTTATCTGTATATGGCAAGGTCACATCAAACGTTCTCTATTGCGCACACATTTTGAAAAGCACAATAATATGTGGCAACTAAAAGAAGATGTTTACTCATTGTTTCAAAAATCAAAATATGCTCCGATTGATGGAATGCGGTCGATTTCATGTTTAATGATTATTTCCTTTCATATCATCAGTTTTTTGAATTCATTCATTCCATCTTATCCACATCAACAATGGATGACTTATTTGAATACTTTTTCATTCAGACTTAGGGGTGTGAATTTATTGTTATTGTTATTAATAACAATAACAAAAAAGTTATTGTTATCAATAACAAATAACAAAAAAAGTTATTGTTATTAATAACAATAACAAAAAAAGTTATTTGTTATTAATAACAAAAAAATAACAAATAACTTTTTTTTTCGAAAAATCTTAGTTATGCTTTCCCTAGTCGAACTTTTTTCTGCAAGCGCATGACATTCTTGAGCTTCTTGAGCCTGAATGTCATGCGCTATGGACACATCTTGAGTCAAGACTTGAGATAACAAAAAAACCTCCAGTGCTTTCGATTCTTGCTTCATGGCTTATTATTCTTACTCATGTACTTGAGTTCGTGTTCAAGCGCTTACGTTTCTTGATCAAGCAAGTATTAAATCTATGCATAATAGAGACGTTACTTGTTTTTCCCGTTTTAGCTGCAAATTCTATAGACGTCGCTAACTAGCAGCTACTAAATGAAAATGTTCCATGTGGCACGGTACACTGTAAAAAAAAAGGTATTTTACAGTGTGTCAATACGAATATTAGCAATACGTCTCCATTAGGAGACACGGAAAATAATCCAGTTAATATTATTCCAAACTAATTTTTGTTCTGTCTTTTTCTGTCAGTTTAACGTTTACTATGACCGATTTTTTAATAAATATTCATCCTTAAAAAAGCAAATATTTCAAGAGCGAAAACGCAAAGACAATCCACATCAATCATTAGATTTAAATAGTGTAAATTCTAAGGATCGTCAGTGCATCTTGGATAGAAAAACCGTGGTTGTTTTATGTAAATTGATTCTTTTCAAACTATTCCTTCATAGAATCTTCATGAGTCCTGCGCATGAGTGTCTTCTTCTTGACACATGACTCATGCAAGCGTTCAAGCGCTTGTCTGTGAACAGAAAGTCATGCGCTATGGACACATCTTGAACTCAAGTCTTGGCAAGCGCTTGAATAAAAAAGTTCGACTAGGGTTGTTACTATGTAAAAGTATACCAGTTCTATTTGCTCATTATTGTCCAATTGCTCGATGATGTTACTGACCGCAATCTCCATTAGATAGCCTATGAAACTGAGAAAAATCCTAAAAAGATCTTTTCAAGTATCTTGCTCATCTATAGGCAAAATTTACTGATCGCTTTACGAGGAACGATTCCTCAATGCTCAATTGTCTTTGACTTGCTGTGTTGGTCAAATATAAGCCTTTGGGAGATGAGAAAATGTCTAAAAAGATTGTACAGATCATAACTTGAAAAATGGCACCTAGAATCTCATTTCGCAAAGACTTTTATTTGACCAAAACATCAAGTCAAAGGCAATTGAACATTGAGAAATCGTTCCTCGTAAACCGATTAGTAAATTTTACCTGTAGGTGAGCAAGATACTTGAAAAGATCTTTTTAGGATTTTTCTCAGTTTCATAGGCTATCTAATGGAGATTGCGGCCAGTAACATCATCGAGCAATTGGACAATAATGAGCAAATAGAACTGGTATACTTTTACATAGTAACAAAGCATAACTAAGATTTTTCGAAAAAAAAAAGTTATTTGTTATTTTTTTGTTATTAATAACAAATAACTTTTTTTGTTATTGTTATTAATAACAATAACTTTTTTTGTTATTTGTTATTGATAACAATAACTTTTTTTGTTATTGTTATTGTTATTAATAACAAAAAATAACAATAACTACTCACCCCTATTCAGACTATCGTCATTATTGTCATTATCATTGGAAACATTTTTCATGTTATCTGGTTTTCTTCTTACACTAAAATTCATTCAACAGCGACATCTTTTCTCATGGAGAGAGTATTCTATACATATACTTAGACGTGCCTGTCGTTTTTGGCCAGGTATTTTATTGATTACCGTGGTGATGTTGATATTAGGTGAACCTGAAGGAAATTGGAGAAGTTTTTGGCTATTTTATCAAAACTATGTTAATAGAGAACAATGGACAATCAGCTCTGCTGCACTCTGGAGTATCAGTCTTGATATGCAGATGTATATACTACTACCCCTCATGCTTCACGTCGTTACCAGCTTCAAATCGAATTATCAAAGAATTTATTTATCAATGTATATACTTGTTATTCTGTCTATTGTCTATTCACTGCTAGTGTTTAATCCAAAGACTATGAACATTGCAACGCTTGTATATCATTATAATTCGATGGCACTATTCATGTCAGAACGAATTTTCAATTGGACCAGTACTAAGTATAATGTTACAATGGGATTTGAAAAACCAGCCGATCCAAGTCTAATGAGACCGTTTACGGAATCGATGTATGTGTCTGCCTCTAGTCGATAGTCGAGCTTTGTCATCGGATCAATTCTCGCATTTTATCTGATCGATGTTAAAAATGAGAATATTATTCATTATGGAAAGATTAAAAAATACGTTTATTTAACATTAGCTTTACTATTTATGCTTCTTTTGGTGATTCCAAATGAACCATATATCGTCAATACTGTAGTATTATCAATTATGATTTCCATTATTCGACAATTATTTTCCATATCACAAGCATTTATTCTCTTTTCGGCCATTTGTCCATCAACGCATCCTTATCATAGTTCATGGATCAAATCATTTCTATCGCTTCCCATTTGGATACCAATTGCTAAATTAAGCTACCTAGTATATGTAATACATTTTCGAATTGCATTCGAATTGATAATGTCTCATAGTCATCTATTTGATCCTAAACGTTTTTCAATCGATGGTTTAACCCTCCTATGTCTAGCACTAGTGTTAACAATCTGTCTCATTCTGTTGATCGTTTGGTTCATACTTATCTAACAACCATTTGAACGATGGATCAATATGCGTCTAGTCAATAGTAAGAAGTCCCGTACAAAGTAGTCTATTAGAAATCGTTGAAATTATTATACAAATGAATCATTTTTGAACATTTTTTTTTTCTATAGAAAATAGATGTGTACTGCTCTTATACTCTAACATAATCAATGAGAATTTGGAATTCAGTATTTTAACATAGATTTAATAAATGGATGGCACTTCCTTGTTTCTTAGATGAAATATATTTTGTATAAAGGAGAAAAAGCATACTTCTCTTCTTCGCAAGTACAAAAGCACGAAGAAGTGTTTAGAAGTAAGTCAATATATAGTAAAAGATTTCTCGAAATTTATTTGTGAAGAAGAATCTTATTGAAACAATTAATTAAGAGATTGCCACTAGTCTTTACTACTTGTTTGAATAAATCGAGTTACTTACTACAGAGCATGTCATAAAAAAATGAATTTTGATAGTTGTTCAACGTCTCTGATGTAATTTCGATGTGTTAACAAGTATCAATGAGGGTGTGGGTGGGTGTGAGTATGGTGTGTGAGTGTGGAGCAGGGATGCCAGATCATCCGAATTGGGCAGAAAAGTTCCGAATTCTTGGGCTTTTTCCGATCGCTTTCTGACTATCCGAATTCATCCGAATCTTAAAATTTTTCCGAATTTTTTCCGAGTTGTGATATTTTTCCGCATTTCACTTTATTGTCATTTTACTATTGATTTTACTAGTAGCTGATACTGCGCCATCTTTCTCTTCGCATTGTTATTGGATAATTCACTATATATAGACTGATCAAGTACAATATATACTTGCTTCGATCTAAAGTTTGTTTGAATCAGACTGAATTTTTTGTTAAGGCGAAAAAATCATTAGAACAAATAATATTTTTTAAAATGAACTGAATTTCAATTTTAAACGTACATGCAGCTTTACTTATTAATTCTTACGCTTTAGATTGAATTAGATTGACTATGGATGATGAATCTGATGATTCAATTATAACTATGAGTATGATTGAAAAAGAACAAAAAACGATGTCATTAACAATTACCACCGAAACAGCAACAACACCAGTTTCTCGTAAATTAAAGAAAAAAAAAGGTATTTTTAAAAAAGATTGGTTAAATATAAAAGAATATTCACCATGGTTACAAGAAATAAAAAATGATTCTACAAGAGCTCGATGTAAAGCTTGTTTAAGAACATTTAGTGTTCATTATGATGGAAAAACAGCTTTAAAAAAAACACATGAACAGTGGTCTTCATAAATCATGCATAAAATCGTTTACTAACACGTCATCGATAGTATTGCCTGCACCGTCTGTTAGTGAAATACAAAAAATTTCAGCAATAGAAGGTACTTTTGTGTACCATGGTGTAAAACATGGTCATAGTTATACTTCTCAACAATGTACAATTAATTTAGTTAAAACTTTGTTTGAATCATCTTCAACAGTTGCTAAATCATTATCATGTGCTAAAACAAAATCAAGAGCTATTGCTTGTAATGTTCTTGCTCCATATTTTAAACGTAAAATACTTGATGAAGTATTAGAAGCACGTTTCTATTCGATATCATTTGATGCTTCGAATAAAGGAAATACTAAAATTTATCCATTTGTTATACAATATTTTTCTGATATTGGTGTAAAAAAAGGTAAATATGTTTTACTCTTTGAAATTTATTTTTCATTTCTATCTTTAATTATAATTATCTTACGTTTAGGTCTTATTGATTTTATTGAAGATTCACGTGAAACAGCACTCGACATATTTAATAATATAATCAAAGTAATTGACATCATCAATTAAATATTCACAATTTGACTAGTATTGGTGCTGATAATGCTAATGTAAATTTCGGTGAATATCATTCAGTATTTAAATTATTTAAAGATCGTTTACCACATATTTTCAAAGGTAAATCTAAGTATTTATTGTAGATTAATTTTAATATATTTTAACTTCGATCTGCATAATTATTCTATTTATTTATAGGCAACTGTTATTCACACGTGTTACACAATGGAGTTAAAAATGGACATGATGTTTTGCTAATCGATGTTGAACTTATTTTATGCAAAATTTATTCTCATTTTTCCAGATCGGCCAAACGTATTGAACAATTCAAATCCTATTATGAGTTCGTGCAAGTAGAGTACCGAGTAGGTTGTCTAACAGATTAGCGCCAGACAAAATGCTAAAGAAATCTACAGAAGTTGCATATTTATTTTTCAGGTTTTATTACAACATATAAATATTAGGTGGTTAAGCTTGCTACGTTCAATTGAGCGATTAATTGAAACATATGAACCATCAAGACTTTATTTTTTAAATCATCAAACAACAATAAAAAAGTTCAGCACGACAGCTGAAAACATGCAAATTTGAACATCATTTTTTAATAATTCTGATGGTTTATGTACTTTAAACTTTTTAGAAAGTGTACTAGATAATATTCAACAAGCTGAATTCAAACTGCAACGTACATGGACAACAGCTGTTGATCTATATCGTATTATTACTAATTTAATTAAAAAATTAGAACAAAGATTACAAAATAAATATTTTGGAAATGAAGTCCATTTGATATTTAATCGATTAAAAGAAGTTGACAAAAATAGAGTTGAAGAATTACAAGAATCATTTGAATTATTCATAAAAACTGTTGTTGAATATATCAATTCGTATTTTAATCCTGAAAAAGAGTTCTATGAAATATTGTCAGTTTTAGATAGTCAATCGATTCACTTTCTTGAATGGGATTACTTTATGAATCTTGTCAATTTAATCAAAATAGATGGTATAAATATAGATGAATTATATAATGAATATTGTGAAATTAAGTTTATATACGATAATATGAAAAATAAAAATGTTACAATAAATGAACAAATAAAATCATATATTTCTAGTAAAAATGTTTATAATTCAGAATCAGCAACAAATAATAATTATGAAATTTTATGTGACATCATTGATAATGAAAAAGATGATATATTAAATAAAGATCAAGATTCAAAAGGATTTATTCAGTCTGATCAGTTATGGTCATATTTGTTGAACATCAAACCAAATACTACACCAAATTTGAAATTGATTATTTCTTATGTATTTTCCATTCCTTGCAGCAATGCTTTTGCTGAAAGTATATTTAGTCACATGAATCACCTATGGTCTGATTATCGAAATAGAATGGATATGGAATTAGTTGCTGCTGAATTACAAATTAGAAAGAATGCTAATATTTCTTGTAAAGATTTTTATAAATTTATTTTATCTCAAGAAGATTTATTAAAAAAAATAGCATCAAATGAAAAATTTGGTAAAAAGAAACGTATTCTTGATAAATGAACTTTAGTTTATTTTTTATACGAAAGTTTTGATTTGTAAACATATGTACATATTTTATTTTGTATTGTTTTTTTCCTTAACTACATCTTTTTTGTGAAAATAACAGTCCACAATAACGAATTAGCTGAAGCACTTTTCTTCACTATGAATGAATTATGTAAAAATAAATGATATATCAAAAGCAAACATATTTTCCTAACGAAAACCTCAGTATTTACATCAAAATGTTAGATAATTGTTTCCGATTTTTTTTCTGAAATTATAGAAAATGGATTCCGAATTTTTTCGAACTTTTCGGAATTCAAACAGAAAAAATCCGATTTCTAGGTTTTCAATCTGGCATCCCTGCATTTAGCTTACAACAATTGTACGAATTTATTATTATTATCATTATTTGATATCGTTTTTAAACAGTTTGAAGTAAATACGAAAACAGTTTTGACATACTTCTAACTACGATACGTACGAGTAGAGCTGAATGCCTAGAATGAAGCGAGTTTTTTACGTTTCGTAAAGATGAAAAACAAGAATTTCTTGGGAAAGTGGTTATTTTTTCCCATCGCTAAGCTAAAAAGAATTATATCATCTGTATAGAAATTGTCGCTGCTCTTTTTTGTGCTTCTGTTAGCTGCCAAAAGCATAGTCTTCTATATTTTTTTTAATGAAAGAAAGCAAATATTGTACGGCAGAACAGACCAAAAAATAATTAACAGTGATGGAATATGATCGTCAAAAGATGTTGCACCAAATACTTTCACGACAGTATTTACCAGCTTGAAGTAAACACTGTATCCATTGGTTTTTTTACAAGATTTTTCACATGGTGCAGATGACAAGTTTGAGAAAAATGAAGCACATACAATATTAAAATATTCTTCATTATAGTGTAATTTAATCGGCAATGTACATCGATAAATCCTCAGTAATGTCTTTTCTATTAGATTTTCTATTATTTCCAGTGTTTTATCATCTAGAATCTCCTTGAAGAAAGTCTCTTGTATTACACGACATGTTCTTTGGCACAGAATAAATATTGTGTTCGATTCATAATAGTAAACAAAGAATTATTGCACAACATATACTACGAGATATGACTCATATAAGTGCAAAGAAACAAGCCGTTTCATCATGAATCATCAGTATTGGCGAGAGCACACCTTTCGAGTGGATAATACAGTTATCTTATTGCGAGTCTGATAGATAAAAATGCTTTCATACTTTTATTTTCTTTCAGTTTTTCTCAGAGATGATCGGGCCATAGTTGTCGGGGGTATGACATTTCCCGATCTCCAAAAATTTTCTTATGTTCTGTTAGAAAAAATAATGCCACACACCCCAAAACTCTCAAAACTTAATCTTCCCCCCCCCCCCCCCCCCCATTCTTCTTGATTCTGGCCATTCCTGGTTTTTCTTTTGGGTTTTAGTACTACTTCAGTTGCAATATATGTATTGATAAATAATTCTACCGGCTTCTCAATCTGTAACTTCAGAAAATAGTGTTGATGCGAGTGTATGTGTGGATGTTCATCTCATTCTTGGCTACATCCACACCCTTTCTGTAGACCTTAATGAACTAATTCTTTATTAGGAAATTTTTGTGCTTACAGTCTGTTTCTAAGCAGATTGAATATTGTTACTGCTTCAGTTATTAGGAGAATTTTATCAGAAAAATTATTATCTCAGTCAATATTCGCTGAAACAAGAAGTGATTATTCTCACATATAGTTATACTCATATTGAAAGTTTGAGTTCAAGTAATCTTGAAAAGACAGATTTATCGATTTCATAAAGTGTTAACATTGTTATAAATGTTATAAATCGTACTACTACTTTGAGTTGCAAAATATATAGTTAAAGATTTAACTATGTTAAGTAGTTTATCATAATATTAGTTTAGATCATTCATAATTGCTGTTTATCACTATAGTTCATATTTTTGTTTCTTCCACCTACATGCTTCTAACATTCATTGAGAATATTATATAGTGAGAGAAAAAAAGAGAAATGGCACAAATACTCAATATTATCTTTATGCTACACCAACAAGACTATCATGAAAGTGATCGGAGAACAAAAAATATTGAAAGCGAAAGTTGTATCTACACTAACAGTAAGAAACGAATGGAAAGTATTCGCAACAGTCGTTTCTGCACGATTTTCAAAAAGAGACCATAAATGAGAACGTTTTGTACGATAGATATAATTCGTTAATATTTATAAGATACACTAGCTCTCGATTGAAAAGCTCTTTGGTATCTGAAAAGCCTGTTTTGTCAGTTTGAGACAATATTAACTTTGATTTGCATGACAGTAGATTGAATAAATTTCATGATATTGATAATACTACTTAAGAGCTGTTTTTGCTTATCTTAAACATATGCAAAAAATAGGTTAAACAGATTTCTATCATGAACTAAAAAAGATTTCGTTTTCTATTGTGCAATATGATTAGTCGTTTGCATGTTTCAGAAAAAAAGTTGCGCACATTCAATTAAAAAGTTTTATTTAATCTTGTTTCTATTTCTTTGGAGAATTAGTCTTTTCTTTTCAAATTGTGTTGTATCAAAAACTTATATGAAGCATTGAATATTTTGCCTTCAACAACAGTTGCTGCAACTTTTGACATAATACTTGTTAGGAAAAATTAAAAATATAATTTGTTTTTCATGATGTCTACTAATGCATTGGTGTTTTTTTTTCATTTTCTGTTGCAAGCAAGAAAGCCGTACCCATGTAAAAAAAATAAGCCGAAAAATCAGCAGATGCATGATTTTAATCGATTTCAGGAGTAATTAATTGATGAAAATCAAGTAATTTTGATGTTTTCTGATTAAATGAAAGATTATAATCGATTTTTTCGCATAACTGATTCCGAATCATTAGTTTTTAACCGATTATAATCGTTTTCTTCATTGGAATCGATTAAAATCGATGTACAACGAGTATAATCGATTGTCTTTGATTTTTTATTAATCAATTAAAATTAATTTTCAGCAGTAATCAATTTTCATTGATAGTTGATGATTTTTTTTCGATTTAAATAAAGTAATATTGATTTTAATCCACCGTAATCGCTTAGGTTTTCGAATCGATTATAACTATTGGAATAAGAATTGTTTAGAATCAAGGTATAATGATTATAATCCACGGAAATCGGCTAGATTATCGAATCGATTATAATTACGGGGATAAGAATCGCCTCAAATCAAGTCATGTTGATCATGATCTACCGCAATTGATTAGATTTTTGAATTGATTATAATTACTGGGATAAGAATCACCTTAAATCAAGTCATATTGATTATAATCCACCGTAATCGGTTAGTTTTTCGAATCGATTATAATCATTGGTAACGATGCACCACTTAGCTTAACTTGAAATTTAGTTTAGTTTTATCGCTTTACATTTAATATCAAATTCAACTTTTTTATACTAAACATTGAACTCCCTTAAAATTACGTTTGAGTGATTGGTTTACATAAAATTTACTGAAGTTTGAGCCTTTCATTATTCATAAAGGAGCATGTGATGCTTTTTTCAACCATACAAAAGAGGATTCCTGATAACTTCTCATCAGTGCCGAATAGCAATAGGTTTCATTCGTACAATATGTTAGAGATTTATAGTTAACTGAAGTCTACTCACTTATTTAGTACAATGTATTTAATTATGGATTATCTTTTCTGTATATCAATTTTTTCCAAAATCTGAAACCCATTCGTATTCCTGGAGTATTTGTGACGATCAATGACAAGAGAGATGTTATGACAAACTGGAGGAATAGCTTACCGCCATCCTCGATACTGATGTTTATTAGCTACTTTACATCTCCAGAATGTGTCTATTGCACAATCAATACATGCTTATACATGATACAGAAACAAAGAGAGAGAGAGAGATGATACAGAGAATAACAGGGAGAAAGAGGAAAGAGGAAGAGCTGTAAGTCGTGATGCATATATCAGCACAGTATTGTTATTTTATATTTACATCCTTCGGTCTGAGTTTTGAACACATATGGGAAAAATATAATGTTAAAAGTTCGCGAGCAAACAGTAAATACTATTAGTAACAAAGTTATATTTGATTGTTGTTTAATTTTGATAAGTAACATCTAAATAATGATTTATGATAGCCTTTTCAGTTTTTAAAATTTATAGAGAGTGAGAGTAGCAGAAGTTTCTGGGCCAGATTCGCATTATAACTCGCTTATTCGTAAAAGAATCATACGACTGAAGGTTCTCAAATCGAATGAAAAGCTTCAAGTAGAGCATACATATGTATAGATTATTGTCATTTACGTGGTATGTAAGCAATGCGTATATATCGTTCTGACAAAAAATGATGAATCATATTTCTAGAAATGTCCTTGTATTTTCAGTTTTCCTGACTTTTATTCTGTAATCGAATACTAATCAAAGATATAAGTCTTTAACGTGAAGATTTAGCACGATGACGCTTATGCTCAAGTGCTTTTCACGTGAACTGGAATTAAATATGTCGAGATCAAATCTCAATTGGTTGAGATGTCGCCAACCACTAAGGCAAACAATGCTTATCTTATGTGGTTTGCTATAAATCTATATTTCCGAGAAATAAACTCAAAATAAGGTACATTAACGATTATTTTTATCTTACTGTGCCCCTCATCATAATTTATCGCGTACAATATATTTTATTGAAGATTCTAGAACATGCTTTACTTATTCCCAAAGGAGTTGAATATTACTGTTCAGATTTACATTGTATACAATAAAAACACTGATCATGAACACCATGTCCTTACTTTTTGTGTATTAAAATTCAACTAGCTTTTGATCCCTCCATTGTACTATGGGCGTAGTTTTCGTAATGCTATCGTATAAACCGTCCGAACATCTCGACTGCTAGATGTTTTGATATTATTTTTAGATATTAACACGTATCTCAATCCTAGTAGATCTAGAGTATTTCGAATGGTTATTTTACGTGAATTTTACTAATGGATTCACGTAGGCAA